GTACCTGTTAGAATTATCATTTAAACTCCGCAAAAGCACAAACATTTCCACTGGGCCACAATGGAAAGCAAGGTCCGACAATGGCATTCAAGATCCACAATGGCAATCAAGCGTTCCACAATGGCAATCAAGATCACACAATGGTCAATCAAGATCCCACATGGCAATCAAGGTCCACAATGGCAATCAAGGTCCACACTGGGCCAATCTAGGTCCCACACCTGGCAATCAAGGTGAAGCAAGGCAATCAAGGTCCTCTAATGGCAATCAAGGTCCACATTGGCAATCAAGGTCCACATTGGCAATCAAGGTCACACAATGGCACTCATAGCGATGCACAAAGGCAATCCAAGGTCCTCAAAGGAATCAGGTCCACACTGGCATCAAGGTCCACGAAAGCATTCAAGGTCCACATGGCACTCATGTGCTCACAATGGCAATCTAGGTCCACTCTGGACAATCAAGGTCCACACTGGCAATCAAGGGGCCTCACAAATGGCAAATTTAGTATCCACAATGAACAATCAAGAAGTCCACAAAGGCAATCAAAGGTCCACATGGCGCAATACAAGGTCCACAATTGCAATCAAGGTCCACACTGGCAATCAGGTCCACATTGGCAATCGCGACGTGTAAACACTGGCAATCATGGTCCACAATGGCAATCAAGATCCCACACTGGCAATCAGAGGTCCACTCAATGAAATTAAGTCCTTGGTCATTGTTGGGTTATCCTGGCGAGTAAGTTTACCACAAACGTAATGATAACAGTGGTCATGTGTCAGGACGTTCTCCATCATGTCCTGGAACTGATAAAGCCACTGGATGGGCGAACGTCTCAAATATGTATACCGAGATGTTGCACATGTGTCTAACTCTCCAGCTTACATACTGTAGCACCGATAAACTGGACTACCCCCTAACTCCTGCATGTACCAGTCTCACTGTTGCTTTATGCTGAGTGTAGATGTGTAAGTACGTACCTGCTCCATTTTTGATAGGTACAGTTATGGTACCTCATCATCTATTCATGTATTAAATAACAGTTGGATGAATATCATAGTGCGTATGCAATGACGCGTGATGTGGGCGTGATTTTTAAGGTCACGGTCTTAACTTTGATGATTTTGTTAGGTGATCTGTCATTAGCCTGATCTGGCATCAAGCGTATTTGGTGTTTGTAACACTGTTTATTTCATCAAGGTATGAATTGGATTATCTGTCTGTTATTGGAGGATGATGAATGAGTGGGATTAGAACCCTTGGGTTCTTTGGATGGTTAATGGGTTTCAAGACTAGAGGGTCATTAAGATGGATGGTTGGTTAATGGGTTTCGAGAACGGTATACTACTCGAGGGTCATTAAGGATGCGTTGTTGGTTTATGCGGGTTTCAAGGACTATCTACTAACGCAGGTCATTAAGGCTGAGTTGGTTGGTAATGGGGTTCTCACAGACTATCTACTACACGAGGGTCATAGGCTGGTTGGCTTGTGCTAATAGGGTTTCAAGACTATTCTACTACAGCGTTGGGTCATTAAGGCTCGCGTTGGTTGGTTAATGGGGATTTCAATGACTATCTACTAACACGAGGCGTCATTAGGCTGGTTGGATGGTTAATGAGGTTTCAAGGGACTATCTACTACACCGAGGGTCATAGAAGACTGGTTGGTTGAGGATTAATGCGGGTGTCAATGACTATCTTTACACGCAACGGTCATTAAGACTGGTTGGAGTTAATGGGGTTTCAGACTATTCTCTACACGAGGTTCATTTAAGATGGTGGTTGGTAATGGTGGGTTTCAAGACTATCTACCTACACGATGGTCATACACGGCTGCCTTGGTGTGGTTAATGGGGTTTTCAAGAATATCTATCGATACTCGAGGGTCATTAAGTCTGGTTGGGACTGGCTAATAGGTTTCAAGTCTATCTACTACACGAGGGTCATTAAGGAGGTATGGTTGGTTAATGGGGTTGTCAAGACTATCTATACACGAGGGTCATTTAGCTGGTTGTTGGTTAATGGCGGTTTTCAAGACTATCTACTACACGAGGCCGTCATTAGACTGGTTGAATTGGTTAATTGGGTTTCAAGATATATACTACACGAGGGTCATTAAGGCTGCTTGGTTGGTTAATGGGGTTCAAGATATCTACTACACGAGGGTCATTAAGACTGGTAGGTTGGTAAAGGATTTCTAAGACTATCTACGCACACGAGGTGTCATTATGTGCTGAGTGGTTGGTTATGGGTTTCTAAGCCTATTCCTAACGAAGGGCATTAATACTGGTTGGCTGGTTAATGGTAGGTTCAAGACTATATACTACACGAGGGTCATAAGAACTGGTTGGTTGTTAATGGTGGTTTCAACGATATCTAGACTACACGAAGTCATTAATAATGGTTGGTTGGTTAATGGGGTTTCAAGACTATCTAATACACTGAGGGTCTTAGGCTGGTTGGTTGCGTTATTGGGGTTTCAAGACTATTACTACACGAGGTTCATTAAGACTGAGTTGGTTGGTTAATGGGAGTTCATAGGCCCTATTCTACTACCGAAGGTCATTAAGGCATGGTTGGCTTGGTTAATGGGGTGGTTTCAAGTCTATCTACTACACAGAGGGTCATTAGACTGGGTGGTGGTTTAATTGGGTTTCAAGACTATATACTATCCACGGGGTCATTAAGGCTGGCTTGGTGTGAGTTAATTAAAATAGGGTTTAAGATATCTATACTCGAGGGTCATTAAGACGGGTAGGTTGGTTAATGGGATTTCATTGACTATCTACGACACGAGGCAGTCATTAAGTCTGGTTCGGTTGGTTAATGGGGTTTCAAGATATCTATACACGAAGGTCATTATACTGAGTGGTGGTTAATGGGTTTCAAGGACTATCTAATACACGAGGTCATTAAGCTGGGTTGGTTGGTTATGGGGTTTCAATGTCTATCTACTACACGTAAGGTCATTAGGCTGGTTGGTTGGTAAATGGGGTTTCAAGACTATCTTAGTACACTAGGTCATTAAGGCTGGTTGGTTGGTTTATGGGGTTCATAGACTAGTCTACTACACGAGAGGTCATTAAGTTGATTGTTGGGTCTTATGGGTTCTCATAGACTATCTTACTACACGATGGGTCATTAAGGACTCGGTGGTTGGTTATTCGGGGTTTCAAGATATATACTTCACGAGGGTCATTAGGCTGGTTGGTTGGGTTAATGGGTTTCATGACTATCTACTTCACGACGGTCCTTAAGACTGGTTGAGTTGGTTTATGGGGTTTCATGGACTATCTACTACACGAGGTCATAAGGATGGTTGGTTGGTTAATGGGTTTCAGACTATCTACTACACGAGGTATTAGCTGGTTGGTTGGCTTAATGGGGTTTCAAGACTATCTATACACGAGGGCGTCATTAAAGACTGGTGGTTGGTTAATGGGGTTTCAAGACTATTTCTACACGAGGGTCATTAAAGGCTACATGCTCTCCTATACACCAAGTCAAGAATACTTTAATTCCTAAAATACTGATTTAATGTAACTCCCAGTGTTTATACACTGAGATATACACCTTCTTCAGTGTTATTATACACTGAGATATACACCTCTCAGTGATATACACTGTGATATACACCTCTCAGTGTATATACTAAATGAGATATACACTCTCAGTGTATATACACAGGAGAAATACCCTAACAGTGTATATACACTGAGATGTGACACGTTCTCAGTGTATATATCATGAGTTATACACCTCTCTGTGTATATACATGAGAAATTACCCCTCACAGTGTATATACACTGAGATATAAACCCCTCAGTGTATATACACTGAGATATACACCTCTCAGTGTATATACACTGAGATATACACCCTCAGTGTTATATACACTGAGATATACACCTCTCAAGTGTAATACTGAGATAGTACACTCTCAGTGTATTATCCACTGAGATATACACCTCTCTCGTGTATTAATACACTTGAGTATACACGCTCACAGTGTGGATATACACTGAGATATACACCTCTCAGTGTTATACACTGAGAAATACACTCTCAGTGTATATACACTGAGGATATACACCTATCAGCGTATATACACTAAGATTAACTGTCACAGTCATTATATTACTAGATATACACCTCTCAGTGTATATACACTGAGATATACACCTCTCAGTGTATATACACTAAGATATACAAGTCACAGGTCTATATATACTAAGATATACACCTCTCCGTGTATGATAAACTGAGATATACACCCTCAGCGTAGTATACACTATAGATTATACACCTCTTCAGTGTATATACACGGAGATATAACTCTCTGTGTATATAACTGTGATTAACCTCTCAGTGTATATACACTGACGGTATACGTCCCCTCAGTGTATATACACTGAGATATACACTCTCAGTGTATATACACTGTGATATACGCTCCTCTAGTGTATTACACTGAGAGATATACTACCCTCAGTGATATACACTGAGAGATATCACCTCTCAGTGTACATTTACACTGAGATATACACCGTGTCAGTGTATATACACTGAGATATACAATCTCAGTGTATTTAACTGAGAATACACATTACAAGTGTATTACACATGAGATTATACACCTCTCAGTGTATATAGCACAGAGATATACACCTCTCAGGTGTATATACACAGGATACCACCCTCTCAACGTATTATACTCTAAGTATATTACAATACACAGTGTTATATACTATGAGATCCACCCTCCAGTGTAACCCTATAACCACCCTCCCCCCCGAGATATACACTTCAGTGTCTATACAATGAGATATCACACCCCTCTCTGTACTATAGACACTGAGATATACACCTCTCAGATGTATATATACCTACGTTTACACTCACAGTGTATATACACTGAGGTTATTACACCTCTCAGTGTATATACACTGAGATTAACACCCCTCAGTCTATATACGAGATGTGGTTGGGGAGGGGATATGTGGTTGGGGGAGGGAGATTGTGGTTGGGGGAGGGAGATGTGGTTGGGGAGGGATATGTGGTTGGGGAGGGAGATGTGGTTGGGGGAGGGGAGGATTCCTGTTACAAGAGAGTTAGTGTGACGATCCAGAGGGGGAACGCCCACTGCATTTTCTGTGTGTATGTTTATCCGTCAAGAAGGGGTGACTCTCTCTCTCTCTCTCTCTCTCTCTCTCTCTCTCTCTCTCTCTCTCTCTCTCTCTCTCTCTCTCTCTCTCTCTCTCTCTCTCTCTCTCTCTCTCTCTCTCTCTTTCACATACACACACACCACGTACCTGTCAACAAGAACCTTGAACAAAGAATGAACTAAGCCACCACCTTAACATTGATCACTGAGACAGTTGCTGCCTGCAAGTAGCAAGCCACATAACAGCTCCAGTGGGGTTAGAGCCCGCGGCAAGTGAGTCGTAAAACACCGGGCGAGTGCGTTAACAACCAGGCCACCTGGCTACAATAACAGCCGCCCAATAAGGTGTACAGGGTGTTTCAAATTGATGTACCCATTTTCAAAGCAGTCTGCTTTGAAACTGGGTATATTATTTTGGAACACCCTGTAATTCAACACCCTTGGAAGGCTAACATGGGCCACCACTGTGACCACATATACAGATGAAACTCCAACTCATGCCCCTTCAAAGCCATGGCTTCTAACCCCACAAGTGAAGATAACTAGACAGAGATTATTATTATTATTATTATTATTATTATTATTATTATTATTATTATTATTATTATTATTATTATTATTATTATTATCGTTATTATTGTCATCATTTTAATAATTTGACGTAGCGTTAAACCCGTCAGGGTGGTGTGGAGGTACGTCCGGCAGGAGGGTTCAGCTGGTCTTGTAGACGAGGTCAGGACAGTAGCAGTACTTTCTGTAGAGCTGGACAGTAAGACAGTGACTGTCACTGCCTCTACATGAGGTCACGACAGTAGCAGTACTTCCTGTAGAGCTGGTCAGTGATACAGTGACTGTCACTGCCTCTACATGAGGTCACGACAGTAACAGTACTTCCTGTAGAGCTGGTCAGTGATACAGTGACTGTCACTGCCTCTACATGAGGTCACGACAGTAACAGTACTTCCTGTAGAGCTGGTCAGTGATACAGTGACTGTCACTGCCTCTACATGAGGTCACGACAGTAACAGTACTTCCTGTAGAGCTGGTCAGTGATACAGTGACTGTCACTGCCTCTACATGAGGTCACGACAGTAGCAGTACTTTCTGTAGAGCTGGACAGTAAGACAGTAACTGTCACTGCCTCTACATGAGGTCACGACAGTAACAGTACTTCCTGTAGAGCTGGTCAGTGATACAGTGACTGTCACTGCTCTACATGAGGTCACGACAGTAACAGTACTTCCTGTAGAGCTGGTCAGTGATACAGTGACTGTCACTGCCTCTACATGAGGTCACGACAGTAACAGTACTTCCTGTAGAGCTGGTCAGTGATACAGTGACTGTCACTGCCTCTACATGAGGTCACGACAGTAACAGTACTTCCTGTAGAGCTGGTCAGTGATACAGTGACTGTCACTGCCTCTACATGAGGTCACGACAGTAACAGTACTTCCTGTAGAGCTGGTCAGTGATACAGTGACTGTCACTGCCTCTACATGAGGTCACGACAGTAGCAGTACTTTCTGTAGAGCTGGACAGTAAGACAGTAACTGTCACTGCCTCTACATGAGGTCACGACAGTAACAGTACTTCCTGTAGAGCTGGTCAGTGATACAGTGACTGTCACTGCCTCTACATGAGGTCACGACAGTAACAGTACTTCCTGTAGAGTGGTCAGTGATACAGTGACTGTCACTGCCTCTACATGAGGTCACGACAGTAACAGTACTTCCTGTAGAGCTGGTCAGTGATACAGTGACTGTCACTGCCTCTACATGAGGTCACGACAATAACAATACTTCCTGTAGAGCTGGTCAGTGATACAGTGACTGTCACTGCCGTACTGGTTGATCCTCGACACGTCACTTACTATCTGGTACTGTCGTGAGTGGTACTTGACAGTACCTTCAAGTTCAGCCCCACCTGAGTCATGGTCATACCCAAGTATTAGTCATTATCATCATCATCATCATCATCATCATTATTATTATTATTATTATTATTATTATTATTATTATTATTATTATTATTATTATTATTATTATTAGTTTATTGTACAATAATAATAATTATAAGTGTATCCATTACCTTGGTAACGATGACAGTAACGTACCTGGGTTGGTAATAATGGCAGTAACATACCTGGGCTGGTAACAATGACAGTAACGTACCTGGGTTGGTAACGATGACAGTAACGTACCTGGGTTGGTAATAATGGCAGTAACGTACCTGGGTTGGTAATAATGGCAGTAACGTACCTGGGCTGGTAACAATGACAGTAACGTACCTGGGTTGGTAACGATGACAGTAACGTACCTGGGTTGGTAACAATGACAGTAACGTACCTGGGTTGGTAACAATGACAGTAACGTACCTGGGTTGGTAACAATGACAGTAACGTACCTGGGTTGGTAACAATGACAGTAACGTACCTGGGTTGGTAACAATGACAGTAACATACCTGGGCTGGTAACAATGACAGTAACATACCTGGGTTGGTAACAATGACAGTAACATACCTGGGTTGGTAACAATGACAGTAACGTACCTGGGTTGGTAACAATGACAGTAAACGTACCTGGGTTGGTAACAATGACAGTAACGTACCTGGGTTGGTAACAATGACAGTAACGTACCTGGGTTGGTAACAATGACAGTAACATACCTGGGTTGGTAACAATGACAGTAACGTACCTGGGTTGGTAACAATGACAGTAACGTACCTGGGTTGGTAACAATGACAGTAACGTACCTGGGTTGGTAACAATGACAGTAACGTACCTGGGTTGGTAACAATGACAGTAACGTACCTGGGTTGGTAACAATGACAGTAACGTACCTGGGTTGGTAACAATGACAGTAACATACCTGGGTTGGTAACAATGACAGTAACGTACCTGGGTTGGTAACAATGACAGTAACGTACCTGGGTTGGTAACAATGACAGTAACGTACCTGGGTTGGTAACAATGACAGTAACGTACCTAGGTTGGTAACAATGACAGTAACATACCTGGGTTGGTAACAATGACAGTAACATACCTGGGTTGGTAACAATGACAGTAACATACATGGGTTGGTAACAATGACAGTAACGTACCTGGGTTGGTAACAATGACAGTAACGTACCTGGGTTGGTAACAATGACAGTAACGTACCTGGGTTGGTAACAATGACAGTAACGTACCTGGATTGGTAACAATGACAGTAACATACCTGGGTTGGTAACAATGACAGTAACGTACCTGGGTTGGTAACAATGACAGTAACATACCTGGGTTGGTAACAATGACAGTAACATACCTGGGTTGGTAACAATGACAGTAACATACCTGGGTTGATAACAATGGCAGTAACGTACCTGGGTTGGTAACAGTGACAGTAACGTACCTGGCTTGGTAACAGTGACAGTAACGTACCTGGGTTGGTAACGATGACAGTAACGTACCTGGGTTGGTAACAATGACAGTAACATACCTGGGTTGATAACAATGGCAGTAACGTACCTGGGTTGGTAACAATGGCAGTAACGTACCTGGCTTGGTAACAGTGACAGTAACGTACCTGGGTTGGTAACACTGACAGTAACGTACCTGGGTTGGTAACAATGGCAGTAACGTACCTGGGTTGGTAACAATGACAGTAACATACTTGGGCTGGTAACAATGACAGTAACGTACCTGGGCTGGTAACAATGACAGTAACATACCTGGGCTGGTAACAATGACAGTAACGTACCTGGGTTGGTAACAATGACAGTAACATACCTGGGTTGGTAACAATGACAGTAACATACCTGGGTTGGTAACAATGACAGTAACATACCTGGGTTGGTAACAATGACAGTAACATACCTGGGCTGGTAACAATGACAGTAACGTACCTGGGTTGGTAACAATGACAGTAACATACCTGGGTTGGTAACAATGACAGTAACGTACTTGGGTTGGTAACAATGACAGTAACGTACCTGGGTTGGTAACAATGACAGTAACATACCTGGGTTGGTAACAATGACAGTAACGTACCTGGGCTGGTAACAATGACAGTAACGAACTTGGGTTGGTAACAATGACAGTAACGTACCTTTGCTGGTAACAATGACAGTAACGAACTTGGGCTGGTAACAATGACAGTAACGTACCTGGGCTGGTAACAATGACAGTAACATACCTGGGCTGGTAACAATGACAGTAACGTACCTGGGCTGGTAACAATGACAGTAACATACCTGGGCTGGTAACAATGACAGTAACGTACCTGGGCTGGTAACAATGATAGTAACTTACCTGGGCTGGTAACAATGACAGTAAACATACCCGGGCTGGTAACAATGACAGTAACGTACCTGGGCTGGGTAACAATGATAGTAACTTACCTGGGCTGGTAACAATGACAGTAACATACCTGGGCTGGTAACAATGACAGTAACGTACCTGGGTGGTAACAATGATAGTAACATACTGGGCTGGTAACAATGACAGTAACATACCTGGGCTGGTAACAATGACAGTAACATACCTGGGCTGGTAACAATGACAGTAACATACCTGGGCTGGTAACAATGACAGTAACGTACCTGGGTTGGTAACAATGACAGTAACGTACCTGGGCTGGTAACAATGATAGTAACATACCTGGGCTGGTAACAATGACAGTAACGTACCTGGGCTGGTAACAATGATAGTAACATACCTGGGCTGGTAACAATGACAGTAACATACCTGGGCTGGTAACAATGACAGTAACATACCTGGGCTGGTAACAATGACAGTAACGTACCTGGGCTGGTAACAATGATAGTAACATACCTGGGCTGGTAACAATGACAGTAACATACCTGGGCTGGTAACAATGACAGTAACATACCTGGGCTGGTAACAATGACAGTAACGTACCTGGGTTGGTAACAATGACAGTAACGTACCTGGGCTGGTAACAATGATAGTAACATACCTGGGCTGGTAACAATGACAGTAACTTACCTGGGCTGGTAACAATGACAGTAACATACCTGGGCTGGTAACAATGACAGTAACGTACCTGGGCTGGTAACAATGATAGTAACATACCTGGGCTGGTAACAATGACAGTAACATACCTGGGCTGGTAACAATGACAGTAACATACCTGGGTTGGTAACAATGACAGTAACATACCTGGGTTGGTAACAATGACAGTAACATACCTGGGCTGGTAACAATGACAGTAACGTACCTGGGTTGGTAACAATGACAGTAACATACCTGGGTTGGTAACAATGACAGTAACGTACTTGGGTTGGTAACAATGACAGTAACGTACCTGGGTTGGTAACAATGACAGTAACATACCTGGGTTGGTAACAATGACAGTAACGTACCTGGGCTGGTAACAATGACAGTAACGAACTTGGGTTGGTAACAATGACAGTAACGTACCTTTGCTGGTAACAATGACAGTAACGAACTTGGGCTGGTAACAATGACAGTAACGTACCTGGGCTGGTAACAATGACAGTAACATACCTGGGCTGGTAACAATGACAGTAACGTACCTGGGCTGGTAACAATGACAGTAACATACCTGGGCTGGTAACAATGATAGTAACTTACCTGGGCTGGTAACAATGACAGTAACATTTCCTGGGCTGGTAACAATGACAGTAACGTACCTGGGCTGGTAACAATGACAGTAACATACCTGGGCTGGTAACAATGATAGTAACTTACCTGGGCTGGTAACAATGACAGTAACATACCTGGGCTGGTAACAATGACAGTAACGTACCTGGGCTGGTAACAATGATAGTAACTTACCTGGGCTGGTAAACAATGACAGTAACATACCTGGGCTGGTAACAATGACAGTAACGTACCTGGGCTGGTAACAATGATAGTAACTTACCTGGGCTGGTAACAATGACAGTAACATACCTGGGCTGGTAACAATGACAGTAACGTACCTGGGCTGGTAACAATGATAGTAACATACCTGGGCTGGTAACAATGACAGTAACATACCTGGGCTGGTAACAATGACAGTAACATACCTGGGCTGGTAACAATGACAGTAACGTACCTGGGCTGGTAACAATGACAGTAACATACCTGGGCTGGTAACAATGACAGTAACATACCTGGGCTGGTAACAATGATAGTAACATACCTGGGCTGGTAACAATGACAGTAACATACCTGGGCTGGTAACAATGACAGTAACATACCTGGGCTGGTAACAATGACAGTAACGTACCTGGGTTGGTAACAATGACAGTAACGTACCTGGGCTGGTAACAATGATAGTAACATACCTGGGCTGGTAACAATGACAGTAACATACCTGGGCTGGTAACAATGACAGTAACGTACCTGGGCTGGTAACAATGATAGTAACATACCTGGGCTGGTAACAATGACAGTAACATACCTGGGCTGGTAACAATGATAGTAACATACCTGGGCTGGTAACAATGACAGTAACATACCTGGGCTGGTAACAATGACAGTAACGTACCTGGGTTGGTAACGAAGGCAACGCTGTACGTTACTGAGACAGATTCTTGTTTTTTCGGTGAGGTAGAGTTCGTTGCTGTGCCCATTTGTCCTCGTAAAATCTGAAACAGTGAAATCTGGAGCAGTGAAATCCGGAACAGTGAAATCTGGAACAGTGAAATCTGGAACAGTGAAATCTGGAACAGTGAAATCTGGAACAGTGAAATCTGGAACAGTGAAATCCGGAACAGTGAAATCTGGAACAGTGAAATCTGGAACAGTGATATCTGGAACAGTGAAATCTGGAACAGTGAACTCCTTCATGATTTCAGTGAATGATATTCACACACCCATAAAAGGCTGCATTAAACCCGTAGGGGATCATGCCTCACTCTGGGGGATTGGAAGGCATTCAGGTTTGTTTTGAGGATCTGGAGCGGAGATCCACCTCCTTAGATCAAGGGCCTCTCACCAGCATCAAGGAACCTTCCTTGAAAGGACACAGCAGGAACAAGAAGAAGGAGGAGAAGAGGAAGGAGGAGAAGAGGAAGAAGAAGAAGAAGAGGAAGAAGAAGAAGGATGGATACTGTTTCTTGGTATCCTCTTAATCAAGTATAATTAATAACATCCAATATAAAGTCTTCAGAAAGACTGTCAACACAAGAACCTTACTCCATAATTTGTCTTACTGGGGACACATAATAGCAAGAGGCTTCATCGAAGGCTATTTTCTTCTTGTCTCTCTGTGAGGCCTCGAGGTCTGCACCAGCGGGTGTATTATCCACGTCAACAAACATCTGTAGTGAGTCTTTGCTGTTTTAATGTTTCTCAAGCATGATATCCTGTCCTTCAAAACCAATGCCTCGATCTTTACCAACCAATGCCTCGATCTTTACCAACCAATGCCTCGACCTTTACCAACCAATGCCTCGTTCTTTACCAACCAATGCCTCGACCTTTACCAACCAATGCCTCGACCTTTACCAACCAATGCCTCGACCTTTACCAACCAATGCCTCGATCTTTACCAACTAATGCCTCATTCTTAACTAACCAATGCCTCGTTCTTTACTAACCAATGCCTCGTTCTTTACCAACCAATGCCTCATTCTTAACTAACCAATGCCTCGTTCTTTACTAACCAATGCCTCGTTCTTCACTAACCAATGCCTCATTCTTTACCAATCAATGCCCCATTCCTTACCAATCCCATAGAAAACACCAGCGCTCATCTCCAATTGATTCTACACTGGGCACAGAAAGCGGCTGACATTACGCCCTCAATAAACTGAAAGCTAAAATTGGTATTGTGGTGCACATCATCTAAAAGACTATTAATTAAGGAATACATTAGGGCACCCCAGCCGGACAGGAACAGAGTAACAGCGAGAGTTACAGCATTCCATTAGGGGGGTGTGGTCGCGTTTATATAGGTGAAACAGCCAGAGTTTGGACACCTGACTGGTGGAACTAAATTTGCAAGCAGAATGAACAATACACGACGTACACATGTGGTACACCGCAATACACACGAACATCACATGAACTGGAAGCAAGGATACCTATTGTAGCAGGAGAATGAGGGAGACATTGGTGTCCCTTAGCTCCATTGGCAGCACACTCAGCTCACACACTGAGGTCCGTGGATCGATCCCCGGTACGGATTGAAACATTAGGACGTGTTTCCTTAAGACACCTGCTGTCCATGTTCACCTAGCATTAAAATAGGTACCTGGGTGTTAGTCGACTAGTGTGGGCAGCATCCTGGGAACAAAAGTGACCTAATTTGCGGGAAATGCTCAGCATAACAAGCGGCTGTTTATACAGTAGTATGTCATTGATGTCAGCTATGGTCTTTATACCTTGTACATGTACCTGTAGAATGTACAGCTGTTAGCATAACACTAGTCATCAAATGGAACAGACAATGTACAATCTTGAAATGTACAATAAGGCACAATCACATTACTGGAACAATACATGCATAAGTCAGACTTGTAAATGGTACAAGTTGGACCCAAACATCATCATAAGCTTCTCTCTCTCCTATTTACAAACAATCACATTTACAATCACAATCTGTTGTATTTTCTATGGACTCGATAAAGCCTTTTACAAGCAATAGATCTGTTTTATAAACATCTATCAGTATTCATGGTATATTCAGCCAGGTACTCACCCTAACCAGCTGAAGCTGGGCGCACTCTGGGAAGGCCAGGAGGCCAGAGTTCAGAGTCCTCACTATGAACTCTGCGACTGTCTTGAGACGCTGATCCCCGGCGTCTAATTGACTCATGGACTGACAGGCGCAGTAGTGATCACTGACGGAGGCATCTTGGCAAGTCCTTCTCAAAGGCACTTCCCGGAATAGACTTTGACCGTGGGATGACACTCTGGGTCTGGTGAAACACGCGTTAAATGTTTAAATCTCCCATACTAATATAAACACACTCTTAAACTCAGGAAAAAGAAAGGAGATACAGAGAAGAAAATGTATATATCTGCATGAACTTACTCGACAGATAGGTCTTCATACGCTTGCTTCAGGATATCAATCAGTGTTGCATGGATGTCAAACGTTGATGTGAGTCTTCGAGTGTTGGTCCTCAGGTTGTGCCACGCTTCGGGATACTTATCTTCGAACCACGGAGGAAAAACGATCATAACATAGGGCAGTCTTTCCTCAAGCATGCCGGCGTAGGTAGAACGGAAGCTCCCCCATCTTTGACCGTGATCACTGATGAAGAAGAGGATCGTGTGGTTGAAGTAGCCTTTGGCTTTAAGTTGTTGTAGGTACCAGAGTGAAGGTTCATCAGCAGCCTTGGCCATGGTGAGGTAGTCGTGTGTGAGAGATGCCGTCCAGTAGAAGCCAAAGTAAGGAAGGTCTTCTAAGGTCTCAGCTACAGCTAGAGAATACTCGTGTATAACACCCATACTAAGCTTGTTTCCTTGACACAGTTTACCATTAGACATTCCAAGATCGGCATTATGGCTGATTTCCCTCTCGGAAACGAAAAAATACGGCCTGTTGTAGTAATCAGTGGGCTCCTTCACAAACCCAATTTGGGTGTAGTGAAAAACGCCCATCCAGGGAGCGTCCTCACCGTAAGCAGTAGCATATCCTTCCTCAGAGAACTCTTTCCAGATAAGAGGACAATCGTCGAGCTTTGAGCTTTTCTTGGGATGGCAAGGGTGTTTGTTGAACTCCTCAGTGGTGAGCCCCATCAATGCAGCAATCAAATTCGGGTCGGTGTTGTCTCCCACCTTGTTGAAACCCTGAAGATCAATGGCTCTGAGGCTGTGTGTGAGATACTGGAAGGTCTTAGGCATACTGCGCTTCAGGTTACCCCTGGAGACGGCATCAGTGCCCATAATAATAACACTGAGTTTGTTCTCCCGTGATTGTCTCTCCTCATACTCCTTCTGTAAGGAAGGAAGAGACTAAACATTACCTACTCGACAGTAGAGGTATATAATAATAATAATAATAATAATAATAATAATAATAATAATAATAATAATAATAATAATAATAATAATAATAATAACAATAATAATAATAATAATTTTTATTTCTACCAGTACGTGATGCAACTTATACAGACCATAGCTGACATCAACGACATATTTAGAAAGTCCCTGGTTATGCAAAGCATTTCCCGCAACTTAGGTTAATTTTGTCCCCCAGGATGCCACTCACATCAGTCGACTAACACCCAGGTACCTACCTACTGCTAGGTGAACAGGGACAGCAGGTGTCTTAAGGAAACACGCCCAATATTTCTACCCGTACCAGGGATCGAACCACGAACCTCAATGTGGAGAGAGAACGAATGAGCCAGTGTGAGCCTTTCGACTTCCTCTTCAGTAGATCTACTGAAGAGGACCTAAACTGGAGATAGAAATATATTTGTTTATGTCTCTAAATAGGTGAAAAGAGAGATACAGCAGGCTAAAAGTCCTTTTCTAATCAAGTATTTCCCTCATCAACCCCCTGTGGGTATTGACTCACCATTGATGAGTGTTGATACTTGACTGCATCAACGTTAACTACGTTACCTAGAAAAACACTCACGATACAGTGAAAAATCCCATTTCATGAAGAGAAGTGATGAACAGTTGGTCGTTTTCTGAACATGTGATGATCAGTTGATGATTCTGTGCACAGTTGTGGTGGACTAATAAAGAGATGTAGTATTCAAGGGGTTAGTGTGGTGTCGAAATTTCAGTTGTGGTAAATAAATAAAGAGATATGGTATTCAAGGGGTTAGTGTGGTGTCGAAATTTCAGTTCTGGTGAATAAATAAAGAGATATAGTATTCAAGGGGTTAGTGTGGTGTCGAAATTTCAGTTGTGGTAAATAAATAAAGAGATATGGTATTCAAGGGGTTAGTGTGGTGTCGAAATTTCAGTTGTGGTAAATAAATAATGAGATATAGTATTCAAGAGGTTAGTGTGGTGTCGAAATTTCTGTTTAAAAAAAATAGTATGCAAATGTGTGAGTAAAACACACAAGTGTTTTACTTAAAACAAACTAAAACAATTCAAGACAAAGGAGGATACTATACAAATACCTCAAACCTTAGTCTCTTCTTATGAACTCTGTCGGGTTGTAGAAAGTAGTGAACATTCTTGTAGATGACAGTCATATTGTTTACATCAAGACACTTCACCAGGATACCGTCCTCCAGAATGGGTGTGTTAGAATTTATGGGAATTTTGTTCTCCTTTAGCCTGAGAACAAATAGATATAAACGACAGTGTTAGAATATTTAAGTTAATTCAGGTATAGGTATGTATAAATACAGTTACATAGATTATCATACATAGCAGTATATGTGTAGATTATCTAAGGATAATCCCCAAAAAAGACAGATAAAAATTAATTATTTATACTGGGGTACCTGATGTATATGATATAAATTGTCAATTTATATTTGTATGCAGTTAATGTCTGAAGTCTAAGATATGTGTGCATATAAATACACATACATATACAAACACACACACACACAACACACACACAACACACACACACACACACACACACACACACACACACACACACACACACACACACACGCACACACACACACACACACACACACACACAAACACACACACACACACACAAACACACAAACACTTACTTCGAAATCTTGTCACAATTCCAATCATATCTATTCGGGTCCTGTTGGATCCTTCTTATACCTTGGTAGGAACAGTTGATAGATTCCCAAGTCAGTCCGTACTCCTCGACTCTCTCCTTATAGACCCGCAGCATAAGTCTATCAGTATCAGTCAAAGGACGTAGGGTAGAACACACCACCTTGTGGGATATACCAGGTGTACTAAGTACAGTAACGTCCTGAAGTTGCCCATACACACTTGTTGAGATTAAGATCTATCTACTACACGAGGGTCATTAAGACTGGTTGGTTGGTTAATGGGGGTTTCAAGACTATCTACTACACGAGGGTCATTAAGACTGGTTGGTTGGTTAATGGGGGTTTCAAGACTATCTACTACACGAGGGTCATTAAGGCTGGTTGGTTGGTTAATGGGGGTTTCACGACTATCTACTGCACGAGGGTCATTAAGGCTGGTTGGTTGGTTAATGGGGTTTCAAGTCTATCTACTACACGAGGGTCATTAAGACTGGTTGGTTGGTTAATGGGGGTTTCACGGCTATCTACTACACGAGGGTCATTAAGACTGGTTGGTTGGTTAATGGGGGTTTCACGACTATCTACTACACGAAGGTCATTAAGGCTGGTTGGTTGGTTAATGGGGGTTTCACGACTATCTACTACACGAGGGTCATTAAGGCTGGTTGGTTGGTTAATGGGGGTTTCACGACTATCTACTACACGAGGGTCATTAAGGCTGGTTGGTTGGTTAATGGGGTTTCAAGTCTATCTACTACACGAGGGTCATTAAGGCTGGTTGGTTGGTTAATGGGGTTTCACGACTATCTACTACACGAGGGTCATTAAGGCTGGTTGGTTGGTTAATGGGGGTTTCACGACTATCTACTACACGAGGGTCATTAAGGCTGGTTGGTTGGTTAATGGGGTTTCAAGTCTATCTACTACACGAGGGTCATTAAGGCTGGTTGGTTGGTTAATGGGGTTTCAAGACTATCTACTACACGAGGGGTCATTAAGACTGTGGTTGGTTAATGGGGTTTCAAGACTATCTACTACACGAGGGTCATTAAGGCTGGTTGGTTGGTTAATGGGGTTTCAAGACTATCTACTACACGAGGGTCATTAAGGCTGCTTGGTTGGTTAATGGGGTTTCAAGACTATCTACTACACGAGGGTCATTAAGACTGGTTGGTTGGTTAATGGGGTTTCAAGACTATCTACTACACGAGGGTCATTAAGACTGGTAGGTTGGTTAATGGGATTTCAAGACTATCTACTACACGAGGGTCATTAAGACTGGTTGGTTGGTTAATGGGGTTTCAAGACTATCTTCTACACGAGGGTCATTAAGGCTGGTTGGTTGGTTAATGGGGTTTCAAGACTATCTACTACACGAGGGTCATTAAGACTGGTTGTTGGTTAATGGGGTTTCAAGACTATCTACTACACGAGGGTCATTAAGACTGGTTGGTTGGTTAATGGGGTTTCAAGACTATCTACTACACGAGGGTCATTAAGGCTGGTTGGTTGGTTAATGGGGTTTCAAGACTATCTACTACACGAGGGTCATTAAGACTACATGTCACCTGTACACCACCAGTCCAGAATACTTTAATACCTAAAATACTGACTGTCAGAATACAGTTAAACTCTCAACACATCCAGTGTACAATAACCAGAGTTGCATTTCCCGTGTACCCGCACATTACACTGTAGTGTACTGCCCTTGTACACCTTGTACACATTGTCCTGATACCAAGTTTAGTCAGAAATCATATCTCTGCAATATTTACGATATTTAGCTACTGGTGTCTTAATAATTATGTAGGTAATTATGTAGGTAATTATGTAGGTAATTAGGTCATTTGTACTAGGAATCTACAAAAAAATATGATAGGAATCTACGTCATTATCATGGTACGTTTCTACGTACATTGTAGTTAATACTCTATGATGTTTAAATAGGTATTTGGAGGAGCATGGGGCTCAAAAATAGGTGCTGAAGTATGGTACCTAATTACTTTCCTTAATATGCAGATGTAGGTAGGCGCTTTGAGCTTAATCCTGATGAAAATAGGTACTGGAGGTTGGAACATAGGTACATTCTTTTGCATATAAATGTAGACAGGTGCTTGGAGCTAAATTCTCACTAAAATAGGTACAAATGTACATAGGTTCTTTGAGTTTAATCCTGACCAAAATAGGAACTGGAAAATGGAACATAATTACCGTCTCGTCCTCAGTGCCTATGTACTCAGCTATGGCAGGATCCGTCGGGGCGAAGTCCGGGATAACACACACTGGCGTATGTATCACGAAGTGTGGGGAATTCTCCACTGTGGAGAGATACATAGTGTAGGTAAGTGATACACAGTGTAGGTAGGTGATACATAATGTAGGTAGGTGATACATAGTGTAGGTAAGTGATAAATAGTGTAGGTGGGTGATACATAGTGTAGGTAGGTGATACATAGTGTAGGTAGGTGATACATAGTGTAGGTAGGTGATACATAGTGTAGGTAGGTGATACATGGTGTAGGTAAGTGATACAAAGTGTAGGTAAGTGATACATAGTGTAGGTAGGTGATACATAGTGTAGGTAGGTGATACATGGTGTAGGTAAGTGATACAAAGTGTAGGTAAGTGATACATAGTGTAGGTAGGTGATACATAGTGTAGGTAAGTGATACACAGTGTCGGTAAGTGATACATAGTGTAGGTAAGTGATACATAGTGTAGGTAGGTGATACATAGTGTAGGTAAGTGATACACAGTGTAGGTAGGTGATACATAGTGTAGGTAAGTGATACATAGTGTAGGTAAGTGATACACAGTGTAGGTGGGTGATACATAGTGTAGGAAAGTGATACATAGTGTAGGTAAGTGATACACAGTGTAGGTAGGTGATACATAGTGTAGGTAGGTGATACATAGTGTAGGTAAGTGATACACAGTGTAGGTAGGCGATACATAGTGTAGGTAGGTGATACATAGTGTAGGTAAGTGATACACAGTGTAGGTGGGTGATACATAGTGTAGGTAAGTGATACATAGTGTAGGTAGATGATACATAGTGTAGGTAGGTGATACATAGTGTAGGTAAGTGATACACAGTGTAGGTAGGTGATACACAGTGTAGGTAAGTGATACACAGTGTAGGTAGGTGATACATTGTGTAGGTAGGTGATACATAGTGTAGGTAAGTGATACATAGTGTAGGTGGGTCATACATAGTGTAGGTAGATGATACATAGTGTAGGAAGGTGACACATAGTGTAGGTGGGTGATACATAGTGTAGGTAGGTTATACAGAGTGTAGGTAAGTGATACATAGTGTAGGTAAGTGATACACAGTGTAGGTAGGCGATACATAGTGTAGGTAGGTGATACATAGTGTAGGTAAGTGATTCATAGTGTAGGTGGGTGATACATAGTGTAGGTAGATGATACATAGTGTAGGAAGGTGATACATAGTGTAGGTGGGTGATACATAGTGTAGGTAGGTGATACATAGTGTAGGTAGGTGATACATAGTGTGTGATGTAGTCCAGCTGGGCTTGTGAGGTCTCTGGGGAGACCTAATTTAAACAATTATATGGTCGCACCTTGCCTTGGCAAACGTCTGTCAGCCACGCCCACGTCTGAGGTCTTTTGTTCTTGACGGTTTCAGACCTAGGCGTCAGGTCGTACACGTGGTTGTGGAGGGTGCTTGGACCACCATAAAAGCCCAAGGAAGAGCATGATCAGGGGATTCGAGCGGAGCTGCTGATGGGGTGCAGAGCTCCTGAGCAGAGACTTCGAGCGGAGCTGCTGCTGGGGTTCAGAGCTCCTGAGCAGAGACTTCGAGCGGAGCTGCTGCTGGGGTGCAGAGCTCCTGAGCAGAGACTTCGAGCGGAGCTGCTGTCTGGGGTGCAGAGCTCCTGAGGCAGAGGACTTCGAGCGGAGCTCTGCTGGGGTGCAGAGCTCCTGACAAGACTTCGAGCGGAGCTGCTGCTGGGGTGCAGGGCTCGGGAGAAGGCTGCTGAAGTCTCTGGAGGAGACTGTTGGAGGCAGTGGGCAGAGTACTGGCTTGGCGCAGTACTCGTGCTGTGTAGGTCTTGGGACCTGTGGCTTAGTTCCTGTGATGAACTGCCCTCTGAACTATATTGTTAGTTATATTCATTCTCGTCAAGTTGATTGTGTTCCCTGTCTCACCGCTTACATACCACCCCATTTATCTAAACCACAATAATGTTCTCCTGTTCCCAAATATATTAGTGTACAAGGACTTAATAATAAACTGTGTTTGAGTTGAATAGAAATACTCACTGTCCCCGTTATTTTCTCCATTTATTTATGTTTAGTTAAAGTAGTGAGAGGGTGAGTAGTGTGGTGGGTAGAGTAATGAGAGGTGAGGGTGTAGTCACCAGTGACCTTCACATTACCTACCTCTGCATACCTCACTCCTACCACCTCGCCTGTCCCCTACCTACTAACTCCCCCCGCTTACCCCCATATTCCCCTAATCATTACCCCCCTACATGACATGGATTTTTTTTTTTACTCAAACACAGTTTATTATTAAGTCCTTGTACAATAATATATTTGGGAACAGGAGAACATTATTGTGGTTTAGATAAATGGGGTGGTATGTATGCGGTGAGACAGGGAACACAATCAACTTGACCAAAATGAATGTAACTTACAATATAGTTCAGAGGGCAGTTCATCACAGGAACTAAGCCACAGGTCCCAAGACCTACACAGCACGAGTACTGTGCCAAGCCAGTACTCTGCCTAGTGCCTCCAACAGTCTCCTCCAGAGACTTCAGCAGCCTTCTCCCGAGCCCTGCACCCCAGCAGCAGCTCCGCTCGAAGTCTATGCTCAGGAGCTCTGCACCCCAGCAGCAGCTCCGCTCGAAGTCTATGCTCAGGAGCTCTGCACCCCAGCAGCAGCTCCGCTCGAAGTCTCTGCTCAGGAGCTCTGCACCCCAGCAGCAGCTCCGCTCGAAGTCTATGCTCAGGAGCTCTGCACCCCAGCAGCAGCTCCGCTCGAAGTCTATGCTCAGGAGCTCTGCACCCCAGCAGCAGCTCCGCTCGAAGTCTCTGCTCAGGAGCTCTGCACCCCAGCAGCAGCTCCGCTCGAAGTCTATGCTCAGGAGCTCTGCACCCCAGCAGCAGCTCCGCTCGAAGTCTCTGCTCAGGAGCTCTGCACCCCAGCAGCAGCTCCGCTCGAATCTCCTGATCATGCTCTTCCTTGGGCTTTTATGGTGGTCCAAGCACCCTCCACAACCACGTGTACGACCTGACGCCTAGGTCTGAAACCGTCAAGAACAAAAGACCTCAGACGTGGGCGTGGCTGACAGACGTTTGCCAAGGCAAGGTGCGACCATATAATTGTTTAAATTAGGTCTCCCCAGAGACCTCACAAGCCCAGCTGGACTACATCACAAGTGTAGGTAGGTGATACATAGTGTAGGTAGATGATACATAGTGTAGGTAGATGATACATAGTGTAGGTAGGTGATACATAGTGTAGGTGGGTGATACATAGTGTAGGTAGATGATACATAGTGTAGGTAAGTGATACATAGTGTAGGTAGGTGATACATAGTGTAGGTAGGTGACAGGTGTAGGTAGGTGTGATACATAGTGTAGGTAGATGATACATAGTGTAGGTAGGTGATACATAGTGTAGGTAGGTGATACATAGTGTAGGTAGGTGATACATGGTGTAGGTAGGTGATACATAGTGTAGGTAGATGATACATAGTGTAGGTAGGTGATACATAGTGTAGGTAGGTGATACATAGTGTAGGTAGGTGATACATAGTGTAGGTAGGTGATACATAGTGTAGGTAGATGATACATAGTGTAGGTAGGTGATACATAGTGTAGGTGGGTGATGCATAGTGTAGGTAGGTGATACATAGTGTAGGTAGGTGATACATAGTGTAGGTGGGTGATACATAGTGTAGGTAGATGATACATAGTGTAGGTAAGTGATACATAGTGTAGGTGGGTGATACATATTGTAGGTAGGTGATACATAGTGTAGGTAGGTGATACATAGTGTAGGTAGATGATCCATAGTGTAGGTAGGTGATCCATAGTGTAGGTAGGTGATACATAATGTAGGTAAGTGATACATAGTGTAGGTAAGTGATACATAGTGTAGGTAGATGATACATAGTGTAGGTAGGTGATACATAGTGTAGGTAGGTGATCCATAGTGTAGGTAGGTGATACATAGTGTAGGTAAGTGATACATAGTGTAGGTAAGTGATACATGGTGTAGGTAGGTGATACATAGTGTAGGTAGGTGATACATAGTGTAGGTAGGTGGTACATAGTGTAGGTAAGTGATACATGGTGTAGGTAGGTAAAATATAGTGTAGGTATGTGATACATGGTGAAGGTAAGTGATACATGGTGTAGGTAGGTGATCCATAGTGTAGGTAGGTGATACATAGTGTAGATAGGTGATACATAGTGTAGGTAGGTGATACATAGTGTAGGTAAGTGATACATAGTGTAGGTAAGTGATACACAGTGTAGGTAGGTGATACATAGTGTAGGTAAGTGATACACAGTGTAGGTAGGTGATACATAGTGTAGGTAAGTGATACACAGTGTAGGTAGGTGATACATAGTGTAGGTAAGTGATACACAGTGTAGGTAGGTGATACATAGTGTAGGTAGGTGATACACAGTGTAGGTAAGTGATACATAGTGTAGGTAGGTGATACATAGTGTAGGTAAGTGATACATAGTGTAGGTAGGTGATACATAGTGTAGGTAGGTGATACACAGTGTAGGTAAGTGATACATAGTGTAGGTAGGTGATACATAGTGTAGGTAAGTGATACACAGTGTAGGTAGGTGATACATAGTGTAGGTAAGTGATACATGGTGTAGGTAGGTGAAATATAGTGTAGGTATGTGATACATGGTGTAGGTAAGTGATACATGGTGTAGGTAGGTGATCCATAGTGTAGGTAGGTGATACATAGTGTAGGTAGGTGATACATAGTGTAGGTAGGTGATACATAGTGTAGGTAAGTGATACATAGTGTATGTAGGTGATACAGAGTGTAGGTAGGTGATACATAGTGTAGGTAGGTGATACATAGTGTAGGTGAATGATACATAGTGTAGGTAAGTGATGCATAGTGTAGGTAGGTGATACATAGTGTAGGTAGGTGATACATAGTATAGGTAAGTGATACATGGTGTAGGTAAGTGATATATGGTGTAGGTAGGTGATACACAGTGTAGGTAAGTGATACATGGTGTAGGTAAGTGATACATAGTGTAGGTAAGTGATACATAGTGTAGGTAGGTGATACATAGTGTAGGTAGGTGATACATAGTGTAAGTAGGTGATACATAGTGTAGGTAAGCGATACATAGTGTAGGTAAGTGATACGTGGTGTAGGTAGGTAGGTGATACTAAGTGTAGGTAGGTTATACACAGTGTAGGTAGGTGATACATAGTGTAGGTAGGTGATACATAATGTAGGTAGGTGACACATGGTGTAGGTGGGTATATGCGGGTTTTTGTACTCTTGTGTACTCCCACTTACTCCCAGGTACTCTCAGGTACTCCCAGGTACTCCCAGGTGTTCCTAGGTACACCCAGGTACTCTCAGGTACTCCCAGGTACACCCAGGTACTCCCAGGAGCCCCCAGGTACTCCCAGATACTCCCAGGTACTCCCAGGTACTCCCAGATACTCTCAAGTACTCCCAGGCACTCCCAGGTACTCCTAGGTACACCCAGGTACTCTCAGGAACCCCCAGGAATTTCCAGATACTCCCAGGTACTCCCAGGAACTCCCAGGTACTTCTAGGTACACCCAGGTACTCCCAGGTACTCCCAGATACTCCCAGGTACTCCCAGATACTCCCAGGTACTCTCAGGTACTCCCAGGTGCTCTCAGGTACTCCCAGATACTCCCAGGTATTTCTAGGTACACCCAGGTACTCCCAGGTACTCTCAGGAACTCCCAAGTACTCCCAGGTACACCCAGATACTCCAAGGAACCCCCAGGTACTCCCAGGTACTCCCAGATACTCCCAAGTACTCCCAGGCACTCCCAGGTACTCCTAGGTACACCCAGGTACTCTCAGGAACCCCCAGGTATTCCCAGATACTTCCAGATGCTCCCAGGTACTCCCAGGAACTCTCAGGTACTCCTAGGTACACCCAGGTACTCCCAGGTACTCTCAGGTACTCCCAGGTGCTCTCAGGTACTCCCAGATACTCCCAGGTATTCCTAGGTACACCCAGGTACTCCCAGGTACTCACAGATACTCTCATTTACTCCCAGATACTCTTTGGTACTCCCAGATACTCCCAGGTACTCCCAGATACTCCCAGGTACTCCCAGATACTCCCAGGTACTCTCAGGTACTCCCAGGTACTCCTAGGTACACCCAGGTACTCCCAGGAACCCCCAGGTACTCCCAGATACTCCCAGGTACTCCCAGGTACTCCCAGATACTCCCAGGTACTCCCAGGCACTCCCAGATGCTCCTAGGTGCACTCAGGTACTCCCAGGAACTCCCGTTTACTCCCAGGTACTCCTGGGTACTCTCAGGTACTCCCGGGTACTCCCAGGTATTCCCAGATACTCCCAGATACTCCCAGGCACTCCAAGGAACTCTCAGGTACTCCTAGGTACACCCAGGTACTCCTAGGTACACCCAGGTACTCCCAGGTACTCGCAGGTACTCCTAGGTACACCTAGGTACTCCCAGGTACTCCCAGGCACTCCTAGGTACACCCAGGTACTCCCAGGTACTCCCAGGTACTCCTAGCTACACCCAGGTACTCCTAGGTACACCCAGGTACTCCCAGGTACTCTCAGGTACTCCTAGGTACACCCAGGTACTCCCAGGTACTCCCAGGTACTCCCAGGTACTCCCAGGTACTCCCAGGCACTCTTGGGTACTCCCAGGTACTCCCGGGTACTCCCATGTACTCCCGGGTACTCCCAGGTACTCCCGGGTACTCCCAGGTACTCCCAGGTACTCCCAGATACTCCCGGGTACTCCCAGGTACTCCCAGGTACTATACAACTCACCGTCACAGCCAGTCCCACAAGGTCGGGGGGAGAGAGACGGTCTCAGGTTGTAGGTCATGAAATAGAAGCCGTAGATCAAGGAAGCTGTTGCTGCCAGCGTCAGGTACGCAGCACGTCTCGCCTCCATATCTGAAAGTGAAGCCAATGTGAAGGTGATCATTGTTACTGTGTGTGTGTGTGTGTGTGTGTGTGTGTGTGTGTGTGTGTGTGTGTGTGTGTGTGTGTGTGTGTGTGTGTGAGTGTGTGTGTGTGGAGTGGGTGTGTGTGGTGTGTGTGTGTGTTGTGTGTGTGTGTGTGTGTGTGTGTGTGTGTACTCACCTAATGTACTCACCTAATTGTGGTTGCAGGGTCGAGACTCAGCTCCTGGCCCCGCCTCTTCACTGATCGCTACTGGAGTCCTCACTCTCTCTGCTTCCTGAGCTTTGTCATACCTCTCTTAAAACTATGTATGGTTCCTGCCTCCACTACTTAACTTGCTAGGCTATTCCACTTGCTGACAACTCTATGACTGAAGAAATACTTCCTAACGTCCCTGTGACTCGTCTGAGTCTTCAGCTTCCACTTGTGACCCCTTGTCCCTGTGTCCCCTCTCTGGAACATCCTATCTCTGTCCACCTTGTCTATTCCCCGCAGTATCTTGTATGTCGTTATCATGTCTCCCCTGACCCTTCTGTCCTCCAGTGTCGTCAGTCCGATTTCCCTTAACCTTTCCTCGTACGACATTCCCTTGAGCTCTGGGACTAGCCTTATTGCAAACCTTTGTACTTTCTCTAACTTCTTGACGTGCTTGACCAGGTGTGGGTTCCAGACTGGTGCTGCATACTCCAGTATGTGTGTGTGTGTGTGTGTGTGTGTCTGTGTGTGTGTGTACTCACCTAATTACTCACCTAATTGTGGTTGCAGGGGTCGAGACTCAGCTCCTGGCCCCGCCTCTTCACTGGCCGCTACTAGGTCCTCCCTCACTCTGCTCCATGAGCTTTGTCATACCTCGTCTTAAAGCTATGTATAGTTCCTGCCTTCACTACATCACTCGCCAACTTCCATCACTTCCTGACAACTCTGTGACTGAAGAAATACTTCCTAACATCCCTTTGACTTATCTGAGTCTTCAACTTCCAATTGTGTCCCCTTGTTGCTGTGTCTCATCTCTGGAACATCCTGTCTCTGTCCACCTTGTCTATTCCACGCAGTATTTTGTATGTCGTTATCATGTCTCCCCTGACCCTCCTGTTCTCCAGTGTCGTCAGGCCGATTTCCCTTAACCTCTCCTCGTAGGACATTCCCCTTAGCTCTGGGACTAGTCTTGTTGCAAACCTTTGCACTTTCTCTAATTTCCTGACGTGCTTGACCAGGTGTGGGTTCCACACTGGTGCTGCATACTCCAGTATGGGCCTGACGTACACAGTGCACAGAGTCTTGAACGATTCCTTACTGAGGTATCGGAACACTATTCTCAGGTTTGCCAGGCTCCCATATGTTGCAGCAGTTATCTGGTTGATGTGTACCTCCGGAGATCTTCTTCTTCTTCTTCTGTTGGGTTTCAGGGCCACTGACAGCATACGCATCGAGCCCGGCCGTCCAGTGCTAGGAAAGGGAATATCGACCAAATCGGAAGAATGTCTTGACTAATAACTATGTATCATATGTCTCTGATACGCCCTGAATCCAGCTGGAAGGAGCAGGTACAGGCCAATATCTCCTGACGGTCCAGAGGTCGAAACCCCTCCCCATTGAGGAGGACAGGTAGAGTGAAAGTATGCACCCCAAGCGTGCGCAAGGCCGCACGGAGAGTAGTCCGTGCAGAGTGGTAACGTGGCCACCACAGCAGGAAGTGTTCCACCTTCTCAGGCTGTGAGGGACACCACGGGCAGTATGGAGAATCCGTCATCCGAAGGCGGTACAGATGAGCCGCCAGTCGCATGTGCCCGACTCGAAGGCGAGTCAGTGCAACGTCCACCGAGCGGTTGGGATGGCGAACCCAAGGGCAAGGGCCATTAAAAGTTCGGACAGAGCCCAACGCCGAAGAAGAAAGGGAGTGTGCCATGCCCTCTTGCCACTGATGACGGATTTCCTTCCTAACAGCCCTTGTGAAATCACTGTGGCCCAGGGCAAGTGGAGTAACAGTAGGAAGTGTGTGCGCGAGGGAGGCCGCCCGATCTGCCACTTCATTGCCCCAGATTCCAACATGGGCGGGTACCCACTGAAGGGAGATGCTCCAACCTTGGCGCGCAAGAAGCGCAGGAGGAGAGATTGTGTCCGACGAACGAGGACGCGCAGTGATCGTGGACGGGCAGAGCACAAAAGTGCCAGGGAAGATTGGGAATCTGAGAAGAGAACCAATGGTTGTGGGGGAATGTGATCTAGGACAAAAGCCAGAGCCTGGTGAATGGCGAAGAGCTCCCCTGCCAGAACAGAATAAGCAGGGTCCAACCGCCACGTTTGACACAGGGAGTGATTAGCGAAGAAGGCCGCAGATGATATAGAAGGGGGAGAGGACCGTGCCGAGCCATCCATGTAGACGGAGAATGAAGAGCCATATGTAACAGAGCGAAAGTCTTCAAATAGAAATGCAACTAACTGAGGGGGTTCCCTGTTCCTGTAGTGCCAATCCAAGTGTATGTATCGCGTCAGGTCCAGCCAGGGAATTGCCGGAGAGTGGAGAGGGGAGGGAGTCATCACAAGTGCAGGAAGTGAAAGGCAGATCAGGGAACGCTGGGCTCTGGCTACAAAGGAAGGCTGACCCAAACGTGGGGAGACAAAGGCTGTCTCCCACATCTGTGAAGAGAGGCGACAGGGGTGGGTACCAGACAGAGAGGCCATATGATGGAGTCGTAAACAGTTCCTCGCTGTCCTCACCGACGAGAGAGGGACATATCCCTGACTGCCTCCAAGGCTGCAATACGGGTGGAGGGGAATGCCCTCAGCATATTACGGATGGCTGAATTTTGGAGAATGTCTAAGCGATGAAGAGAGGAGGAAGAAGCCGAGCCATACACCTCACTCGCATAAGTGAGCTTGCTGCGAACCATAGCTGTATAGAACTTATAGAGAAGGTCTCGATCCGCCCCCACTTGGTGCCAGAGATCCGGCGCATAAGTGCAATGAGACGTGCACACGAGAGGTGGAGGGCCGCTATGTGTTTCTACCATTTCAAGAATGGTGTATCTAAGGTGACTCCCAACCAACGATGAGAGAAGACCAAAGGGATTGGCGTCTGGTTCAATGAGACTGATGGAAGAGTGGGGAGTCGGAGTCTAGTAAAGCATAAGAGCTTGGACTTAGTGTCACTAACCTCCAAACCCCAGGTGGTGGCCCATGATGTTATGCGTTGCAGGGCACCCTGAAGTCTTTCCTGTGCCGTCAGTAAAGCCGGGGCACTGCACATAAGGGCCACATCATCCGCATATACCAGGGTATGCACTCCCTGCATGGAAGGGAGATCCGACAATAAGACAGAGAAAAGGAGTGGGCTAAGAACAGATCCCTGGGGCACTCCCCGGTATACAGGACAGGGTGAGGACAAAGCGCCACTCACTGCTACACGAAAGGTCCTCCCTTGCAAAAAGTTGCGTATCCAGCAGAGGGGAGCTCCTGTCAGCCTCATGCGGGCCAGTTTGAAAACAATTGCTGTGTGTGGCGCAGAGTCAAACGCTCCGCATAGGTCCAAAAATGCAGCCAGAAGGAACTCCCGGCATTCGAAAGAAGTGTGCACGAGCTGTGTAAATTGAAGCAAAGGGTCGAGGGTGGATCGACCTTCTCGGAAGCCACTCGGGTTATCAGGCAGGAGGCCATGTTCCTCAGTCCACCAAGAGAGACGAGTAGCCAACAGTCGTTCCAGCACCTTACCCAAGCGTTAAAATGGTATAAAATACCGACAGGTTGTTAGGTAAGACACATATGCAACAGTTAGGTATCTTTATTTCGAAACGTTTCGCCTACACAGTAGGCTTCTTCAGTCGAGTACAGAAAAGTTGATAGAAGCAGAAGATACTTGAAGGGTGATGGACTGATTACATCGTCTTCAAGTATTTTCGGCTTCTATCAACTTTTCTGTACTCGACTGAAGAAGCCCTGGTAGCGAAACGTTTCGAATAAAGATACTAACCGTTGATATGTGTCTTACCAGCAACCTTACCCAAGCAAAGGTAGAGCAATAGTCCGGTAAGAACTCGGTTGGGTATCATCCTTGCCCGGCTTTAGAATCGGAATCAGAAGAGAGTGTTTCCACATTTCAGGGAAGACACAGTCTTCATGACTTTGCATTGGCGGATCTATATATACTATAATGATCATTATATATATATATATATTATTGTATAATATAATACTCATATCATAAATATATATACTATATATATATATATATATATACAATATCCTGGCTGCAACAATTTCACAATATATCTCAGTGATATACACTGAGGGTGTATATCTCAGTGTATATACACTGAGGGTTATATCAGTGATATACACTGAGAGGCTATATCCGTGTATATACACTGAGAGGTGTATATCTCAGGTATATACACTGGTAGTTTACATTAATCAGTATTTAGGTATTAAAAGTATTCTTGACTGGTGGTGTTACGGTGACATGTAGCCTTAATGACCTCGTGTAGTAGATAGTCTTGAAACCCATTAACCAACCAACAACCTTAATGACCTCGTGTAGTAGATAGTCTTGAAACCATTAATCAACCAACCAGCCTTAATGACCTCGTGTAGTAGATAGTCTTGAAACCCATTAACCAACCAACCAGCCTTAATGACCTCGTGTAGTGATAGTCTTGAACCTATAACCAACCAACCAGCCTTAATGACCCTCGTGTAGTAGATAGTCTTGAAACCCATTAACCAACAACAGCCTTAATGACCTCGTGTAAGTAGTAGTCTTAAAACCCATTAACCAACCAACCAGTCTTAATGACCCTCGTGTAGTAGAATAGTCTTAGAACCCCATTACCAACCAACCATCTTAAGACCCTCGTGTATAGATAGTCTTGAAACCATAACCAACCAACGCCTTAATGACCTCGTGTAGTAGATAGTCTTGAAACCCCATTAACCAACCAACAAGTCTTAATGACCCTCGTGTAGTAATAGTCTTTGAAACCCATTTAACAACCAACCAGTCTTAATTACCCTCGTGTAGTAGATAGTCTTGAAACCCATTAACCAACCAACCAGTCTTAATGACCCTCGTGTAGTAGATAGTCTTGAAACCCATTAACCAACCAACCAACCTTAATGACCCTCGTGTAGTAGATAGTTTGAAACCCATTAACCAACCAACCAGTCTTAATGACCCTCGTGTAGTAGATATCTTGAAACCCCATTAACCAACCAACCAGTCTTAATTACCTGTGTAGTAGATAGTTTGAAACCCCATTAACCAACCAACCAGTCTTAATGACCTCGTGGTAGTAGATAGTATTGAAACCCATTAACCAACCAACGTCTTAATGACCCTCGTGTAGTAGATAGTCTTGAAACCCCATTAACCAACCAACCAGCCTTAATGACCCTCGTGTAGTAGATAGTCTTGAAACCCCATTAACCAACAAACCAGCCTTAATGACCCTCGTGTAGTAGATAGTCTTAAAACCCCATTAACCAACCAACCAGTCTTAATGACCCTCGTGTAGTAGATAGTCTTGAAACCCCATTAACCAACCAACCAGTCTTAATGACCCTCGTGTAGTAGATAGTCTTGAAACCCCATTAACCAACCAACCAGCCTTAATGACCCTCGTGTAGTAGATAGTCTTGAAACCCCATTAACCAACCAACAAGTCTTAATGACCCTCGTGTAGTAGATAGTCTTGAAACCCCATTAACCAACCAACCAGTCTTAATTACCCTCGTGTAGTAGATAGTCTTGAAACCCCATTAACCAACCAACCAGTCTTAATGACCCTCGTGTAGTAGATAGTCTTGAAACCCCATTAACCAACCAACCACTTAATGACCCTCGTGTAGTAGATAGTCTTGAAACCCCATTAACCAACCAACCAGTCTTAATGACCCTCGTGTAGTAGATAGTCTTGAAACCCCATTAACCAACCAACCAGTCTTAATGACCCTCGTGTAGTAGATAGTCTTGAAACCCCATTAACCAACCAACCAGTCTTAATGACCCTCGTGTAGTAGATAGTCATTGAAACCCCATTAACCAACCAACCAGTCTTAATGACCCTCGTGTAGTAGATAGTCTTGAAACCCCATTAACCAACCAACCAGTCTTAATGACCCTCGTGTAGTAGATAGTCTTGAAACCCCATTAACCAACCAACCAGTCTTAATGACCCTCGTATAATAGATAGTCTTGAAACCCCATTAACCAACCAACCAGCCTTAATGATCCTCGTGTAGTAGATAGTCTTGAAACCCCATTAACCAACCAACCAGCCTTAATGACCCTCTTGTAGTAGATAGTCTTGAAACCCCATTAACCAACCAACCAGTCTTAATGACCCTCGTGTAATGATAGTCTTGAAACCCATAACCAACCAACAGCCTTAATGACCCTCGTGTAGTAGATAGTCTTGAAACCCCATTAACCAACCAACCAGCCTTAATGACCCTCGTGTAGTAGATAGTCTTGAAACCCCATTAACCAACCAACCAACCAGCCTTAATGACCCTCGTGTAGTAGATAGTCTTGAAACCCCATTGACCAACCAACCAAGCAGCCTTAATGACCCTCGTGTAGTAGATAGTCTTGAAACCCCATTAACCAACTAACCAGCCTTAATGACCCTCGTGTAGTAGATAGTCTTGAAACCCCATACCAACCAACCAGCCTTAATGACCCTCGTGTAGTAGATAGTCTTGAAACCCCATTAACCAACCAACCAGCCTTAATTACCCTCGTGTAGTAGATAGTCTTGAAACCCCACTAACCAACCAACCAGCCTTAATGACCCTCGTGTAGTAGATGGTCTTGAAACCCCACTAACCAACCAACCAGCCTTAATGACCCTCGTGTAGTAGAAAGTCTTGAAACCCCATTGACCAACCAACCAACCAGCCTTAATGACCCTCGTGTAGTAGATAGTCTTGAAACCCCATTAACCAACCAACCAGCCTTAATGACCCTCGTGTAGTAGATAGTCTTGAAACCCCACTAACCATCTCTACCTCAATTCCGTATACCTATTAAATAACTCTGCATTGGTAACTGCTATTACCTTTTAACAGGAGAGAAGGAAGATCAACAGTGACGTTATTGCCGTTGAACTGTTACTGTCAGTAGGGTAGAATCCTGTCATCTAGTTCCTCGCTTTGTTATCTGCCACTATTGTTATCTATTGCGCAAGCTGTTATTAATTGGTTATCTTACGCGAGGCCATTTGAATTTCATTTCCTGTGTATACAAGGGCACTTCTGGCGGGGCCAAGAACTATGAATCGACCTCTTGAACCACAAATGGGTGAGTACACACAGGAGCTGTGACTCGACCCCTGCAACCACAAATATGTGAGTACACAAAGAGTGTGACTCGACCTGTACACAATAGTGTACACACAGGAGCTGTGACTCGACCCCTGTAACCACAAATAGGTGAGTACACACAGGAGCTGTGACTCGACCCCTGCAACCACAAATAGGTGAGTACACACAGGAGCTGTGACTCGACCCCTGCAACCACAAATAGGTGAGTACACACAGGAGCTGTGACTCGACCCCTGCAACCACAAATATGTGAGTACACAAAGGAGCTGTGACTCGACCCCTGTAACCACAAATATGTGAGTACACAAAGGAGCTGTGACTCGACCCCTGCAACAACAAATAGGTGAGTGCACACAGGAGCTGTGACTTGACCCCTGCAACCACAAATAGGTGAGTACACACAGGAGCTGTGACTCGACCCCCTGTAACCACAAATAGGTGAGTACACACAGGAGCTGTGACTCGACCCCCTGTAACCATAGATGCATACACACCAAAGGCCAAAACACAACCAAAGCCACTTCAAACTCACATAGGCCTCAACATTTGCTGCAGAGGCTTATGGTAATTACCAAAGCCATTCCAGGATGCTGGCCAGGGAGCCTACAATTCTGGTCCTAAAGCACACTTCACACAACGTTTCTGCCTGACTAGGACCATTAAGTAATCAAGTCGGTGCGAAACGTAGTCAGAATTTCCAATCTCGTAAATTCGGGTTATTTGTGTATATTTCCAATAGGTGTAATGTGACTAATTATTGTCTCTGGTTAAAGACTGGGCAGGAGATGCAGCATCCACCTGATAAAGAACAGAGGCGTCACGAGTGTACTAAGAGACAACACAGTGTCAGGGGCCCACGACTGTTCAACTGCCTCCCAGCATACATGGACCTCTGAGTTCAAGATCCATGGCTGTCTTCAAGACCCCTGGCTGTCTTCAAGACCCCTGGCTGTCTTCAAGACTCCTGGTTGTCTTCAAGTCTCCTGGCTGTCTTCAAGACTACTGGTTGTCTTCAAGTCTCCTGGCTGTCTTCAAGACTCCTGGCTGTCTTCAAGACCCCTGGCTGTCTTCAAGACTCCTGGCTGTCTTCAA